GCGATCGTTGCGGCAGGAGAGGGGAGCTGTCTTGACTTGGCAGAGGTCAAAACCCTAAACCCGCCACCGCCATAACTCCCTGACCCCCCTCGCCCGCCTCGCCCCCCTCGCCTCCCCACCCCTGCCCAAAAAAAACAAGCACCAAGAAAAAGAAACACACAGAAAATCGGACGCACAGGTGCGGTGCTCTGGTCCCGAATCTCCCGCATTTACTGCGGCGTGACACAGCAATTCGCTCCGAGGCTGCATCCGGCCCTGAGGATGATGGCTCTCAAGCATCAGGTGTTTCGGGTTTCGGGATGGGGGGTATTTTAGGGTTTGGGCCCTAAACCCTAAACTCTAGGTCTAAGGGCTTAGGGTGTTCCGAGGGCTTCTTGGGCCCGAATTCCAGGGCCGGACCGCGTCTCTCGAAAACAGGGCCCACAACTGCACTTGATAAGCCCATCGGATCTTGAAAAGGCCCAAGAGACCCTGAGCCTAAAGCCCGAGACCATGGCCTTGGACAATTCCTGTGTGCCGTTTACACTTCGTATGTTTCTGGCTTTGGGGTTTCGGGTTTTGGCTTGTTCTAGTACAGTACACTATACGAGGCTCAGGGCTTACTTCTTCGGGGTTTAGTGTTTAGATACTATTCTAACATCAAATACTCTGAGGATGAAAGTGAACCTAAAATTGGGGGCATATAACCTCTACTAGTAGAAGTCTTTTACGGAGGATGAACCGTAACCTTGTTGGGGTCATGTGGTTCCGAAGGTAAGCATTAGAGTGACATATAGTATAGTACATGGTAGTATCCTATGATACAATATAGTAATAAACTAAACCCTAAACCCTAAACCCTAAACCCTAAACCCTAAACCCGCCGAATAAACCTGCCTAAACCCTAAACCCTAAAGCCTAAACCCTATTCGTGATTTGATGTTGTATTACTTGGCCGACCCTGAGAATCTACAAACAGAACCAGCCAAGGCCGCCCACTGCGGCTTCGAGGTCGCCCGAATGCTTCTTTCCAGTGTAGGGTTTCAGGTCCCCAAGCCCTAAACCCTGAACCCTAAACCCTAAACCCTTAGCCCTTAACCCTTAACCCTTAAACCCTCAAACCCTAAACCGTAAACCCTAAACCTAAGCCCTGAACCTTAAGCCCGAAACCCTGAACCCTCAGCCCCCAGCCCTACAAGCCCCGGGCCCATTTCCAGGAGAGGTTGGAGAATCGGAGGGCTGGAGGGGTTCAGGGTTTAGGGTTTAGGGTTTGGGGTTTGGGGTTTAGGGTTTGACTTCGGGCCCTGCAAGGATTTTGGGAGGGGGGGTTTGGCCTTTGATGTATCATCCTTGTTTCTCATCCAAAGCCTCAAGACCCAAACAAGCCCGCATTTGCGGCATCCGCAACAGAACCCGATTTTTTTCGGAATAAACTAAACCCTAAACCCCAAACCCGGCTTCACTAGCCCGCGCGCCCCAAACCCTAAACCCTGAACCCTAAACCCTAAACCCTGTTTTTTGTTCAGACGTTCACACCATTTCACACCCCACACCGAGGACCCTAAACTTTGTAGGCGTAGCCTTGAGGGGAGCCCTGATGCACATCCCTGCCCACGTGCCAGGAGGGCTACTTGCACCTGAAGGCTCACCACAGTAGGGGGTGTAGGGTTTCGGGTTTAGGGTTTAGGGTTTAGGGTTTCGGGTTTAGGGTTTAGGGCTTAGGGCTTAGGGCTTAGTTTATTTTGATTCCTGTTCGGTCCCCCTGAATCATCAACCGCCACCTGCAGCAAAAGAGAGACGGAGGGTTCGGAAATATGCAGTCCTAGGTAGGCCCTAAGAATATGTTGCAGAATATTCTTGCAGAATACTGTTGAATTCTCCCTCACTGGGGTTAAGAGGATCATCTTCAGGAATTTTGTCCGGGGCCATCCTTAACTCCTGCTTGCCACTCACTTCCAGAGGGGAGTTGAGAAACATGACGGCAAATCCGATCATGAACCTGAGTTCTGGACCCCTCCTATCTGAACCCTGAACCCTAAAACCCTAAACCCTAGCCCTAAACCCTAAACCCTAGCCTTAAACCCTAAACCCTACCCTTGCAAAACCCTACAAGCCCTGCAGGATCTGCTTGAGACAGAGACGGGGGGAGCGTGCCCGGGACTGCAGAATGTGGGGTGGGGGGTGAGGGGTCCCTAAACCCTAAACCCCAAGCCCTAAACCCTAAGCCCTAAACCCTAAACCCTAAACCCCCTGCCGTTCTCATCATCTAGGGCCTTCTGAGATGGCCAGTTCTCAAAATGTTGGTCCCTTTTTGGGTGCCCTCAATTAAGAGGTGGCCGCCTTATAATCAGGACCGCCAAAGAAGGGACCTTAACCAATCACCATACGGCTCATATAACCGGGTGGGGGTTCTTTTGGGTATTGTTTTTGGCTTTTTTTGGTATTGATTTTTTGGTTTTCTAAACCCTAAACGCTAAACCCTAAACCCTATAAACCCCAACCCCTAAACCCTAAAACCCTGAAACCCCACAACCCTAAGACCCTAAAACCCTGAAACCCTGAACCCTGAGCCCTGAACCCTAAACCCTAAACGCAAAAACATACCCAAACAAAAACCTGGCTCCCTTATAACCTCAACTAAACCCTACACCCTAAGCCCCGACGGCTGTTACTGGTCGACGGTCTGTAAACAAGGGTGAGTGTAGAATAGCCCGCAAATTCTGTCTTCAGGTACTCCAAATTGGCCCGCCCCAGCTGAGCTATGAAGCGAAGACCTAAACCCTAAACCTTAAACCCTAAACCCTAAACCCTAAACCCTAAACCCTAAACCCTAAACCCTAAACCCTAAACCCTAAACCCTAAACCCTAAACCCTAAACCCTAAACCGACCCTGGGTTCCAAGGCCCGAAGGAGCCCACAGACCCCCCAAAAACTGCTTTCGCGTCTCGACCCTCTCAGACACCTTCAGAATGGTCCCGTGGGCCCCCAAACCTCAAAGAGGTTCTTCGTCCCTTAGGCCAAGGCTTCTGAGATTGGGGTCCCAAATCTTCTGCTGAGACGCCTGCGACCGACAGCTCAGGTACGTCACGCAGGTCATTCCGGGGGTCGCCATGAAGGAGCTGCCAGGGAAGGTGAGCTTGAGTTTGGGGTTTAAGGCTTAGGGTCTACTGAAAGGTTTATGGGTAGTTATGAGTGGGGAGGGAAGTGCCTGAGAACTGTGCCGCTACTTCCCGATGAGCCTCAAGCAGAGTGTGTGAAGCCAGGATGTGCGCTTGAACTACTCAAATGACGCCGGCCATACAAACCACGCTTCTGGTTCCTATGGGTATTTCCCAACAAGAAGCACCCTCTTCTACCCCAAATTCCCCAAATGGTATAGAATCCCCTTTAAAAGGGGCGCCCCCAAAAAAGGGTACCCCTCTTTTCGGACTCTTCCATACGAGCCTGATTTCTTTCGCAGCACTTTAAGCCATGTCAATTGGAGCTGTAAGCTTCGGCCTGTGGTCGCCTCAGAGAGGTGGGGTGGAAGGCCCTTGGTTGTTTAGGGTTTAGGGTTTAGGGTTTAGGGTTTAGGGTTTAGGGTTTAGGGTTTAGGGTTGAGGGTTGAGGGTTTAGGGTTTAGGGTTTAGGGCTTGAAGCATCTCCGGAGAACCCTAAGCAATCTCATGGTGAAGACGAAGAAACGTAGCGAAGCAACCTACTGCTCCTTGATAGCCCAGTGGTGCCCTTTACCCTTTTCTGTTGCTCTAGTTTCCCTTACTTTGTAGGATTCCCTTACTGCAGCATGGTTACTGGGCTACTAAGCCTCATTAGATCCGCTTGAAGCTCTAGGTATACACCACACTTTGCAGTCGAACCCTCGGCGACAGGAGTGCGAAGACGTGTTCAAGGAGTGGTCTGATCGGAACGGCGTAGTCTACTGAGTTCTCCCGGCACCGGCCGGGCCGAACAGCACCAGCGCAAAGAGGTTGATATTCACTCTTGGAACATGTCCGCAGCGCCTGTATTGGCTCTGCTCAGCCTATTGCAGCCCTAAACTCTCCAAGCCCTATAAGCACATCCAAGCAAAGTCCACTTTAGGAGGGTTCCGTCGGGCTGCTCAGACATCGGCACCCTCAAGTTAACACGAAAAAAAAAACCAGCCCTGTAAACCTGTATGGAACTGGCAAGACCGGTCTTGCCATTTCTTGTATGGATCCTCCTACTGCCCCCAAACCCGCAATCCCTACAATCGTAAGAGCCTAGACCCAAAAACCTCCAAACCCTCAATAGATCCCAGACCTACGATCTACAGGCTGCTGCTTTCAAAAGGGTCAGCACGTCGGAAGCCAGTGAGGAGGAGCAGAAGTTGATCCGTCGACTTTGGAGCTGAACTATAGCCCCCCTTAGGGCCTATTTTGTATGGTTTATACGTTTTTAAACCCAAGGGGATATGTTGTTCAACATATTCTTTCTAAGGGGAGTATACAGAAATCTTGAAGCCTTGATTCACCCCAGCTTGTTGGGGGGTATCGGCTTTGGGGTGCTGAGTAGAAGTACAAGAAGTAGAGGGTCTTATTGCATGGTTTGGAGGTAAGGGTTTGTAAGCCTTAACCCTAAAGCCCTAAACCCTAGACCTCGCATTTCAGGGTTCGGGGTCTTATGGCTTGAGGGTTTTATGTTTTTTGTTAAGGGTTTAGGGCAATGACTTGAGATGTTCACTCGATCGACGGCAGTGCTCTTCCTCATCGGTGTCCTGATAGCCCACGGGCTCCATTGCAATCCAGCAGCTTGGAATCAGACGTGGAAATCGTAAGAACTCTGCGAGTTTAGGGTTTTGGGTTTTGGGTTTAGGGGTACCTGCCCACCTGTTTCAGGTGACCAAGCTGTAGTTACCACATGGAACCCTTGAGCATTTCTACGGCTCCGTCTCGAGCCCCAACAGGCACGCGCCAAGCGCGAGCGGCGATCTTCCGCCGAGGTTTTGAGCAGTGCCACATCACTTCTTGACGTACCATGATTTCCTGGTACTCGTAGCGGCAATGCGCTGTGATGCGCTGTGGATGCTTGGACGCAGCAGGAGAGTGGGAAGAAAGCGCCGATGGCGCGCGGCGCGCATGTCTTCTAACGCCAATCTCAAAAAGCAGACAAACCACCAATCCGAACACCCTAACTCAGCGTGCCGCATACCCAACTTGTTTGCCAGGTTCTCGTGCGCAAAGAAGGCAAGGCGTTCGCAAGCGACATCAATGGTGCAGATGCTATGCGGACGCCGGCGACTTAGCCGGCTGTTCTGGAATCGACTTGGGCAACTGTCAAGATGCCGTCTGTGGTGTTCTTGCGAATGCCCATTTGTTTTTCGTGGTTGTGCTTTACTCATGTCGCGTGGTGGCTTTAATTCAAGTTGTGAAAATCTCTTGAGGATGGGCTTGACCGGGCTTGAGCTTCAAGCGGAAAACTGTCCAATGTGTGTGTGTGTGTGTGTGTGTGTGTGTTTGCCTGCACACGCATGGAAAACATGGGTATCTACAAGCACAGCTGTGGCATGCGATTGATGGCATACGAAAGGAAATGGAAAGGTGAACCCCTCACCCTCGCTTTGAGCTCCAAACTCTATAGTAACTAAGCCCGCAGCCCGGGGAAACCCGAAGCTGTACTTGGAGGTTCAGGGTACGTAGTAATTAACCAACTATAACTGTACTTCGAACCCTCTTAGAAGCCCCTTAGTTGCCCTAATGTGGTTATATGTACAGCTATATGGTACAGCTATAATTGGTTACTAAGTACCATGAACCGCCAAGTGCCCAGGTACAATGCCGTCCTTGCGGCAATCGACCTCTTCACCACCAAGCAGCAAAGACATCTGCAGGCCAGAGCTCGAAAAAAACCGTAGGCGTTAGGCCTTCTAACCTCTGCACCCCTGCATGTCCAGAACCGTGAGGGGCCCTGTTTCACTAGGGTTTAGGGCCTAAAGTTTAGGGTTTAGGGTTTAGGGTTTATAAGGGTTTGTTTAGGGTTTAGAGTTTAGGGTTTAGGGATTAGGGTTTAGGGTTTAGGGTTTGGGGCGGATAAACCCTGAGGCGAGATTCTTTGAGAAGCCAAGCCAGCCCCCTCGGCCCTTTCTTTGGCAGGCGGAGACCTTCTACCTGCGAAAGCTCCATACTCAAGAGCAGGCCTGTGCTACCATATGGGAGTTTAGGGTTTAGGGTTTAGTTTAGGGTTCAAATAAAATCCCCCGAATAGTAGGATTCTCTGATAATAATAAGGACCCCAATATGGTACCCCTAGTTTCGGAAACCCCCCCCCTGTAGTATATTTGACTTTATTGAATTTTGATGCTAGAATTGTTTCCCAGTATATCATTTTTATGCTTCATAATTATGTAGTTCAGTATACTAGCCTTGACATGCAATCCTAAGCCCCCTAAAGTTTACTGGGTTTCGTCGAAGCCCTGTTGGGGACGCAAGATCTTTGGCCCCAGGTTTCCACACGCCCTTGGAGTTCTTGTGGGCCTAGAAAGTTCTTAGGCTGTCCCACCCGAGAAGTGCTGCGCATCATGTGCTCACATCCCGAAATTCACCCTAAGCCAAGGGTTTAGAGTTTATGGGTTTAAGGTGTAGGGTTCGCGGACCGCGGAAAGCAAGCAGCCACCTAGGGGTTTAGGTTTTAGGGTTTAGGGTACGGTTTGGGGTTTAGGGTTTAGGGTTTGAGGTTTGGGGTTTAGGGTTTAGGGAGGGCATGGCTGGCAGGAGAAGCAGGAGAGATTTGCCAGAGAGGCACCGGGGGGGGGGGGGGGGGGGGGGGGGGGGCTGCCGAACCATGGGGAGCAATTGTTTCCAATTTGGGGTCCAAATATGGTCTTTAGGGTTTAGGGTTTAGGGTTCAGGAACCCCATATGGGAGTTTCGGGGACCCCTAAAAATAGACCGCCAGATAGTAGCATTCCCTGATGGTAAGGACCCGAATAAGGTAAGCGAGTGCTTCATCTTCTCTTGTGACAGCGCAGAGGCATACGAAGCAGGGTTTAACTTACTGTTTCTGGTGAGTGTACATAAGGTTCCTGCTTAATCTTGGTGAGTGCATAAATTGGGTGTCCTTTTTGGGGGTACAAGAAATATGAACCCTACTTCATATGGGCCTACACAACCTCGTTGGGCCTGACTAAATGCAAAAACCCGAAGCCCCCACCCAGACCCAAACCTTACAAACCCTAAGCCTCACACCCCAAATCCACAACACCTTTCTAACCCGACACCCCTGAACCCTAGACCCTCAACACCCTAGGCAACCTAGGCAACACCCTAAACACCCTAACCACCCGAAACACCCTAAACACCCTAAGCACCCAGCACCCTAAACACCCTAAACACCCTCAACACCCTAAACACTAAATCCCTAAACTCCCTTAAACCCGAAACTAGAACCTTCAGGAATGGCCCGAAACCCTAGACCACAAAGACCCTCAAACCCTAAACCCCCTACAGACCCTAAACCCGGCGGAGGCCAAGGCCCGGGCCCAGGAGGCCAAAAAGGCGGCCAAGGCGGCGAAGGAGCGCCACGACGAACCTACAGAGGGTTTAGGGTTTAGGGTTTAGGGTTTAGGGTTTAGGGTTTAGGGTTTAGGGTTTAGGGTTGAGGGTGATGATTTGAGGGACTTAGCTTCGAATAATTTCATTATTCAGTCCCAAGGTTGAAGGTTCTCCACATAATTCCCAGGACCGAATACATAGGGTGCAGAGTAGGCCGTTATTCCATTGTTTAGCGGTTTTGGTTCCCTGAAAAACCCTTTTCAGCAAACAAGGGCAAGCCTAGTACAAGGTTGGGAGAACTGGCCCTTCCTATGGTCCCTTTGCCCTTCTTTATAGGGATCTGAGGTATGGGCCCTTAGTCTGCGTAGAGTATAATAAGGGTTATCTAGCAAGGGACCACATGCAGGGCCCATACTTGGAATCCAAGAGAATCATTGTGTCCTGAAAGGTTCTAGGAATCTAGTTATACTTGGTGGCCCAGTCATACCCTTTTTGCCCGTTTTTTTGGTTCTAGGTTCCCTTATAGAGTGACCAACCACAAGCAGGGTACCCTTACTACAACATGGTCACTGGGCTACCAAGTACAGGTCCCCGCATATGTCACTACAGTTGGTATTTCAGTGGCACAGCGGTACCTGGGGTCTGGGCGCCCCGCTGGAAAAACAGCTAAAAACCACCGCCCCACGACATTCTTCACTTCACAAAGAGTTGAAGTTCTCAAGGCTCTCCTACCCTTTTGGCCCCCTAGATCCTACCAAGAATATATCGACCGGCTAGACCTCAGCCTCTGTGAGCTGTTGCCTGTCGCCCTAAGCCCCAAACTCCAGAGTCCTAAATCCCAAAGCCCCAAGGCCCCCATAAGAACAATCAATCAACAACTCATCTTGAAACCATAATCAGAATCTGCGCATTCGCGACAATAAATTGATCAATTTGAATCATAACCCCGGCAACAAGAAGAAGAAGCAGAAGAAGAAGAAGAAGGCACGAACAACAACAGGCGATCCGTAAAACCTCCAACGTAGGCAGTTGTTTCTTTTACCTTTCTGCCCCCATTTAAAAGAAAGTTGACAGAGCTCCAGTCTTCAAGCTAGCAGGTGAAACCCTAAACCCTAAACCCTAAACCCTCTTTCAGCCCCACACTGCCCTCACCAGTAGTAGGAGTGCTAGGTGCGTGTTCTGTTTTGGCGCTGCCCTCAAGCTGGTATCTGCCAACAATAATCGGAATAATCACAATAGCTATAAGAAAACTCATGCTAGTACCTAATGCTTAAGAACCGCAACAACAGCAGCAAGAAATAGATACCCTGAGTGAGGAGCGCCCACCCAGCACTGCGCAGACCCGCAAGACGCGGGTGCCCAGCCCAGTGCCGCTGCAGGAGACGCCATGTGAGTGCATACATGCAGTGTATGTTACTATGTTAGTATGCTATGTTACTATGTTACTATGTTACTATGTTATATGTGACTATGTTAGTATGTTATATGTCGCTATGTTACTATGTCACTATGCTATTATGTCACTATGCTACTGTGTTACTATGTATGTATGCATGTATGCATGCATGCATATACATATATACATATATACATATATACATATATACATATATACATATATATATATATACATATGTGAGTGTGTGTGTGTGCATGTGCGTAAGTGTATCTGCATGTGCCTAGTGGCCATTTCCGTGTGTATGTTTACTTTATATCTTGCATCAGCATCATAATCATCATCATCATCATCATCACCATCAGAATCACAATCCGAATCACAATCACAATCATCATCATCGCACGTGTTGGTCCATTTTATAATGATGCTGCAACTTTCCATTAACTAATCTCAATCATCCTACTACGCCCCATGGCTATTGTTGGCAAATCATGTGAGCTGCCTGGTTGTTTCTTGCTCCTTCTTCCTCCGTCGTGTAGCGATGCATGATCAGATGGCACTCCCCTCCTTCAAGATTTCTTGAACCAACCTGACGGGGTAGGAGTGCTTCAAGGTTGGCGTTAGGGTTTGGGGTTTAGGGTTTAAGGGTTAAGGGTTAAGGGTTTAGGATTTAGGGTTTAGGGTTTAGGATTCAGATGATCATGACTGGGGAAGAGGTGGCTTGCCTGGAGCCAGAGGAGTTGCTGAGTATTACCGGCGACACTGCTAAGGGCCATGTGCGCGCCCTAAAGCTCCATCACAACTTAGAAGAAACCCTAAGCCCGACAAAGCCCCGCACCTTGTGGATCTTCTCGGGGCTCCCGGGGTTTAGGGTTTAGGGTTTAGGGTTTAGGGTTTAGGGTTTAGGGTTTAGGGTTTAGGGTTTAGGGTTTAGGGTTTAGGGTTTAGGGTTTAGGGTCAACCTTAAACGCTCGATCCTAAGCACCTGAACCCGAAATCCTCAATTCCTAAACCCCAAGCCCTAAACCCTGGACCCCAAAGCGCCCCCTAGACCCAAAACTCTGCAACCCAAAAGCCTAAGCCCTAAAACCCTAGATCCAAAACCCTAAAACCCTAAAACCCTAAAACCCTAAAACCCTAAAACCCTAAAACCCTAAAACCCTAAAACCCTAAAACCCTAAAACCCTAAAACCCTAACCCCTAAACCCTAAACCCTAAACCCTGCAACCCAAAAGCAGGACAGCCCCCGGGTCGTGCGGACGAGGCCTTTGCCGCTGCATGCCTCTTTCCAGACCAAATGTTGGTTTAGGGTTTAGGGTTTAGGGTTTAGGGTTTAGGGTTTAGGGTTTAGGGTTTCGGGGTACGATTCAAATAAAGAAGGTGTAGCGGGCATCGGGTTCAGGAGGCAGATTCCCATGAACTTTGCAACCCTCTCACCACCCAGAACCTCACCTTGCTGTCCTAGCCCTAAACCCTAAACCCTAAACCCTAAACCCTAAACCCTAAACCCTAAACCCTAAACCCTAAACCCTAAACCCTAAACCCCTTCCTCTTCTCCTGAGCGGTTGCCGCAGGTCTCCGGACAACCAGGGCCGGAACGTGGACTCCGCGAGATCCCGGAGGTCGCTGGGAATGGGGAGGGGGGCTGGGTTTAGGGTTTGGGGTTTGGGGTTTAGGGTTTACGGTTCAGGGTTTAGGGTTTAGGGTTCAGTTTTTAGGGTTTAACAGGGTTTAGGCTTTAGGGTTTAGGCGCAACACGACGGGGAAGTAGACGAGCCTATTAACTTTCGGCTTTAAGCATTGTGGGCCCTCGAAAACCCCGAACCTCAAACATCTCTAAACAGCAAGTGCCTTGGGGTGCCCAGCTCTCGGGGACTAAATGAAGTACCAGGACCTAAGATCCAAGAGTAGTTTCATGGTTCCTTTTATTTATATGGTCCCTTACCCACATTAAAGGCCTAGTTCTTGAGTAGGTAAACTTTAACCTTTCTGGGTTAGTAGCTTCCCCTTAGAATCCCAAAGGTTAACCTTTAAAACCCCCAGGTACTGGACAACTAAGAAGGGTTCCGAAGTATGGGGCCTTGGTTTTTCGAGGGGTATGTAAGGGGTCCTGGGTTTGAGGCGATGTCGCCGTTCCGATTCCTTGCCATGAGAGGCGGATCCACTAACCCCCACACCCTAAACCCTAAACCCTAAACCCCAAACCCTAAACCCTAAACCCTAAACCCTGAAAGGGCTTGGGTGTTTCGGGTGCAGGGGCTGACTTATCGTAGCAACAGCAAGCAAGTATCGGTGTCATGATCACAGTCATGGTACATCGTGATGCTGGAATGATGAATTAAGAAGCCTGAGGGTTTAGGGCTCACGGCTAACGCTCACTCTTTGTTCATCCCCTGGCCGGACCTCTTAATCCTGCTGTGAACAACACCTAAACCCTAAGCCCTAAACTTTAAACTCTAAGCTTTAAGCTTTAACCTGCAAACTTAACACTTTAAACCTTCAACCCGAGCCCAAACATGTACGGTGCTTGCTGACGCTTGCAGTCGATCGCCTTTGCGTCGGAAGGATGCCACGACCCAGGAACCAGTTGCGTTTGTTGGTCTTGGGCTTGAGGGCGTCAGGGTTGAGGGCTTCTGGCTTTCAAGTCTTGAGGATTTTGGAGTTAGGATTCGGGGTGTACCCTAAACCCTAAAGCCTTAACCCTAACGGTTTAGGGCTTGTGGGCTTCCTCCCAGCAACACGGGCCTGCTCTGAGGAAAGTCGCCGGTCATATGGCTCATACGGCTCACGGCTACGGATCCTCAAATTTTTGGGGCTCACAGTGAGCCCTCCAAAAACCTTGTGTCGTAGGGTCTTCGAAACCCAAGCCCTAAACCCTAAACCCTAAACCCTAAACCCTAAACCCTAAACCCTAAACCCTAAACCCTAAACCCTAAACCCTCTCAAGCGCAAGGAGTCTGCACAGGGCACGAAGTCCCCGGAGGCGGAGAGGTCCCTGGGGGCTTCAGGGCTTTTTTGGGTTTCGGGGTTTAAGGTTTGCAGTGTGTAGACGATGATTTGCTTAAGAACCCCGCAAAAAAGCAATACACAATTCCTTTCTTATAAGGGTCATGCCATACAGGGATCATTATCTTCTCACTCTCTTGGGGTTGTCAGGCGAATAGTAGTATTAGTTCATAAGGTTTGTAATGGGGTGTGTGCTGGTAGGTCTTAGGGCGTTCCAGCATTGGTCCTCAAGGGCTCTTGAAGTTCCACCCACCCCACAGTGGCACCGAGTCTTGCCTTCCGAACCCCGCATGCGATGTTTGGCCTAGTTCATGTGGGTTTGGGGTTTGGGGTTTAGGGTTTAGGGTTTAGGGTTTAGGGAACTTTGTCACCAGAGGGTTGCCAAGGATGCCTCGGTCACTTGCGAACCTAAGTAAAGCCGAAAGGTCCCTCTTGGCGGTCTGAGCGCTAGCTAGGATTTAGGGTTTAGGGTTTAGGGTTTAGGGTTCAGGGTTCAGGGCTTAGGGTTTAGGGTTTCCTTGGCACCCGATTTCAATTTCAAGCGTCCGATTTTCTCGTCCAAAACTGAGGACCGCTGGTCAGTATTCTGCCGGGGTTGGAAAAGGTTCAATTGATGTCTAGTTGTCGGGTTTTTTAATGTGGGGGGGGGGGGGGGGGGGGGTCGGAATAATTACTAGTAGTATTCCCTTCGGGTCCCTATATAGCTATACTATAAAAACCACCCGCAACCCCATTTTATTTGGGCCCTTATGGTACACGAAATTTAAGTAGTTATTCTTGGGTTCTCTAGCCCTAAACTCTTAAACCGGAAGCATTATACTCCCTAAACCCAAAACCCCGAAACCCTAAAAATAGCCCCAAACCCTAAACCCCAAACCCTAAAAAACAGTTCCCCAAACCCTAATAAGAACAGTCCCCCAAACCCTAAGAAGCCCCCCCGCCAGCCCCCAAAGTGTAGACCCCTTAGGATCCATTGGGTTTATAGGGTATAGGGAAGAGGTACGGTTCGTAGGGTTTGGGTTTAGGTTTTGGGGGTTTCAGGGTTCCAAAAGTTTTGGGTATAGGGCTTACTACGGTTTACAGCAGCAGCCCGAGAGCCGTACAAGTACAGCAAAAGCCCAAGGCAGTAGGGGAACCTAGGGGGGGTAGCCCTAAACCCCAAACCCTAAACCCTAAACCCTAAACCCTATACAGGGGGGGGGGGGGGGGGGGGCAGTAGGGGAACCCTTGATAGGGCCACGTTTGCGACAGGAGTCCATCTCCAGACTGGATCCCGCGAACTCCTCCGGATCCTCCGACGCAGGTGGCTTCGGGCTTATTTTGGGTTTAGGGCTTAGGGTTTTTAGGGTTTAGGGTTTAGGGTTATTAGGGTTTAGGGTTTAGGGTTTAGGGTTTAGGGTTTAGGGTTTAGGGTTTAGGGCGGGGGATGCACTACGTATGTACAGACCCAACAAGGCCACGCCCACGACCGGCCACATAGCATCGAGGGCCAAGGCAACCCCGGCCTTGGGCAACCACCTCCTTTCCAGATACCCCAATATCCCCAGAAAGTCCCCTAAACCCTAAACCCTAAACCCTAAACCCTAAACCCTAATCCCTAAACCCTAAACCCTAAACCCAGAGTGTCCAACCCCAGGGAGCGGAAACACCCCAGAGTATTCCCAGACCTCTGGGAGTGCCCCAGAGAGTCCCAATTTCAGAGTATTCGCAGAGAATCCTGGAGTGCCCAACCTACTTAATAGCAAATAGTTGAACGTTAAACTTGTGCGGTTTCCTCTTGTTGTAGGAAAAGCAAAGTGTAACCTTCTTTCCCCTTGGTTCTTGAAGAATTTAAGGAATTCCAAAGTATCCCCCGAATCGCTGGCGTGCCCAGCACTAGAGTATCCCCACGGAGAATCTCGGAGTGCGCAACCCCAGAGTGCACCCGCTGAATCTCTGGTGCGCACAACCCTAGATCTTTGTCATAGTTGGGTAACATTTTACATGTTTAAGGGTACTTAAACAAACCCAATCAGGAACAAAAATCTAAGTGTTTTAATATTACCCCAACCATGAACTAGAGATTATCTCCACAGAGTCTTCGGAGTGTCTCTGGAGTGCCCAACCCAGAGTGAGGTTGCAAGTTCCTTGTCTGCAGGGTGGGGATGTTCGAAGTAATGGTTTCCTGTTTTTGTGCGTTATGATTTCTATAGTTGTATTACTGTTTTCTTTGCTACGAACATGATGTAGTCTGATAAAGTGTATCACACTTATTTGTGTTTTCACGGTTTTCATTCCTCTCATGGCTGTAGTAGACGAGCCGTCAATTCATTAACTCAGCCAAGGGCTGCGTGTTGGAAGATGTTCCGAAAGGGTGCAGGGTTGCCAATCCCAAACCCTAAACCTTATAGGCCCTCAACCCTAAACCCCTAAACCCAAACCCTCAACCCTAAACCCTGAGCCCTAAACCTTATAAACCCTGAACCCTAAACCTTCTCCTGCCCCAAAGCACCTGTGCAGGTGCCTACCAAGAGCACTGGAAGCTGGACGACCACCGTCTTTGAGGCATCGCCGACCAAGGCCTGCCTACGGTTTCGGGTTTAGGGTCTAGGGTTTAGGGTTTAGGGTTTAGGGTTTAGGGTTTAGGGTTTAGGGTTTAGGGTTTAGGGTTTAGGGTTTAGGGTTTAGGGTTTAGGGTTTAGGGTTGCGTGGCTTTGAAGATATTTATATTGGAAATACTCAGTGGGACTGCATCAGAAAAAGCATAGTTTTTAAATTTGGGACTTACCTTCCTTAGAGTTTAGGGTTTAGGGTTTAGGTTTAGGGTTTAGGGTTTAGGACCCCTTCAATCCCTCAAACCCTCAGCTCTCCAAACCTTGGCCAAAGCTCCCAAACCCTGCCCAGACGCTGAAGTCTCTGCACCCTCGACTCTTTGAGACCCTCAAGCCCCTAAAGTCCCTAACGCCCCTACAGTCCCGGGCTTAGGGCTTAGGGTTTTAGGGTTTAGGGTTTAGGGTTTAGGGTTAGACCCTAAAGTCCCTAAGGTCCCTGGAGTCCCTACAGTTAAACTCCCGAAAGTCCCTTAAGCCCTCTTCTTTGTCATAGTGGTGTAACATGTTTTTAAGGGTACTTAAACTCCATAAGAATAGAAATTTCCCTAAACCCTAAACCCTAAACCCTAAGCCCTAAATTCGTATTTAAAACTACTCTCCCAACCATGAACTCGTCTTGAGCTTGAGGATGAGAGGGCCCCGACAGTGGTGGCTCCTCGCCCGGAGCCCCCCAGGTTGCCACCTCGGCCACTTCAGGGTTTAGGGTTTAGGGTTCAGGGTTCAGGGTTCAGGGTTTGGGGTTCAGGGTTTAAGGTTTAGGGGTAAGGGTTTATGGTTTAGGGTTTCGCGGTTGGGGTTTAGGGTTTAGGCTTGAGGGCGCTTGGTGGCTGTTTAGTGCACCTATGGGGCGCGTTTGGTTGTGTTTCGGGGTATTTTGGTGTGCATGCAGGGTATTTGTGGGTGTTATGGGCCGAGGGCGTAGGACGTGGGGGGGGGGGGGTGGAGGAAGATGCAGCCTGAACCCGAAACCCGAAACCCCAGCCCCCAAATTTTCGGCAACCCGCAGATGTTTTTTGCCCCCAGGTCCCAAGCTTCTGAAGGGCAAATCTTCCGAAGCCTGGACGACGTGAGGCCACTGGGCCTGCAGGGTTTAGGGTTTTCGGGTTCTCTAAGACTATTCCGCTATGGTCCCCCCTGGAAATTGTCTAGAAACAACTCCAAAAGCCTGCTCTAAATCATTGTTCATTCAGACGTACCATAATAACCCCTACTCTAATTGTTTCTGAGTTCTACTACAATAACCCCAAACCCTACTCTGATTAGTATGAAGTTCTACTTCAATATCCCACAAATCCTAAACCCTAAACCCTAAACCCTAAACCCTAAACCCTAAACCCTAAACCCTAAACCCTAAACCCTAAGATCCCCTATGGTATCAAAATCCCACTGCCTCCCTTGCCGCAGCACGCTGGGCGTGAAAGAGCTCTCGAAGGATGCGGCCGTGGCAGCAGGCTGCCTACTAATCACTTCGACCCGAAACCCTTGCGGTTTAGGGTTTAGGGTTTAGGGTTTAGGGTTTAGGGTTTAGGGTTTAGGGTTTAGGGTTTAGGGTTTAGGGTTTAGGGTTTAGCGTTTAGGGTTTAGGGTTTAGGGTTTAGGGTTTAGGGTCCGTTGTGTGCAACCCACAACCACCCAAGAGCACGGACGATGAGGGACCTCTTAGAGGGCTTTCTGTTCAGTCAAGTGCTCTACGGTCACGTGAAGGGAACATTGGGCCGTTGAGGCTTCATAGCTAGGACCGGGAGTAGGCCTTGTTGTTCCTTTTTTTGGGGTGGGGGTTCCCTTATAATCCCCCTAAAACCAAAAAGGGTACCCTTTTATTCCTAGGCTACTCCCGGGTCTAGATAGTGTCTCTTGGCTACGTGTCGGTGTGTCGAGAGGTTCGATGTCAGGGATGTTGCTTGCTGGAGGCTCCTAAGCCATCTTCTGAGGTTTCGGGTTTGAGGGCTTAGATTCCCTGAACCCTAAACCCTAAACCCTAAACCCTAAACCCTATAAACCTTAAGCCCTCTTGGGCGCACTCTTGACCGAGATGCTGTGAACTCTATGCTCCAGAGCTCTAAATCCTCAACCCCGAACCTGGCGGATCTTGAGCTCAGTTTGCCCATGTTGCCCTAGTAGTAGAGTAGGTAGCCTTTAACCTTTTTGGGTTAGTAGATTCCCCTTAGAATCCCAAAGGTTAACCTTTAAAACCCCTAGGTACTGGACAACTAAGTTGCCTCAGGGCCGCCAGAGTCCTGAGGCCCGAATCCATAATCCCGAGCCCCTAAGAAGTTTTAGTGTTTAGGTTCCGGCGGTTAGGACGCAGGGCTTTGGTGTCAGAGATGTTTAAGATTTGTTGGAGATTTCAAGCGTTTAGGGTTTAGGGTTTAGGGTTTAGGGTTTAGGGTTTAGGGTTTAGGGTTTAGGGTTTAGGGTTTAGGGTTTAGGGTTTAGGGTTTAGGGTTTAGGGTTTAGGGTTTAGGGTTTAGGGGCTTTGTTGCTTAGGTTCTTGCTGCTGCCGTTCCGTGCTACGCTTATGGAGTAGGTCTCTGCAGTCATCCTCTCCACTAATTCCAGCGGGTGGGGATGGATCCCCTCTAAACCCTAAGCCCTAAGGCCCTAAGCCCTAAACTCAACCCTCAACCCTTAAACCTCAACCCGAAACCCTCAACCCTCAACCCTCAACCCTAAACCCTAAACCCTAAACCCTAAACCCTAAACCCTAAACCCTAAACCCTCAACCCTAAACCCTAAACCCTAAACCCTAAACCCTAAGCCCTACACGTGGAAACCTTGAACCGGAAACCCCGAATCCAGAACCTAGAGTCGCCTCAACATTCCCACAACATCATGAAAGCTCACACGGGAGCTTCCAAAAACCTGATAACGGTTTAGAGTTTCAGCTTTGGGGTTGGCTATCTGAGTTTCCGAAAGTTAAGGGTAGCCTTCTTGGGGATCATACATAATGTCGATGTATAATTTCTAAGGACAGAAATGGGGGCCTGGGGGGGTTGCGGAGAGTACTGTGCACCCGGTGCGGACTCTTATGGGCGATCTTACCAGGCTTCTGGTGCTCCGATGTGTGATTGCCTGTTACGCCGCTCCATTCCTGGACAACGTGTATTCCTTGAACATCAGCGAGCATCACCGGGTGCCAGACATCTCATACCTTGGGAGCACCGCGATTCCTCCACGGACGCTCATTCCCACGCACATCCGCTCCGCGATTGACAAAAGCTTGAACTGTTCTCAGCATGGATGGGAGTTGCGCCAGGGTGGGCGCACCAGGCTGTTCGACTGCTCTCTGTTCAGGGATGAGCTCGACATTCTGGAGGTTCGGCTGAACGAGCTCTATGACTGGGTGGACGTCTTTCTGATTATTGAACTTGGCACCGGGCATCAGGGATATCTTCGGAACTCCACCTTTCTGAACTGCCTGGCAGAGCCAGAGTGTGCAGTTCGCTTCACACCGCTTCTGGACAAGATCCGATACGTCTTCGTTGGTGCTTTGGACGTTTGCTTGGCCGGACGAGTATGGGATTGTGAGAAGCAGCATCGCGGGCTGCTCGGCTGGGCGTTTGATGAGTTTGGTGGCCGCGATGACGACATGGCCATCATCGGCGATGGGGACGAGTTTCCTCATGCCACTGCAGCATGGATGCTGGCGAACTGTGCGGTTCCGGAGGGCGTAACGATTGAGTCCGCCCTCTACATGTTCTCTGCGCACTGTAGGGATCCGAAGCCCTACATGCACTTGAAGGCAGGGTGGCTCCCGAAGGTTCTTTGTGTCTTTAGGGCTTATCATAGGGTTGGAAATCGTTCGAGAGGCAGTATGCCAGCAATTCGGTCCATACTGCCGCAGTTCCTCTTGACGGTTTTAGTTTTTGCTGCCCTAAAAATCGACAATGTTGTTGCATCTATAAAACCCCGCCCCCGATGCGGGGTCAGAGTCATGGGCACTTCAATCTCGGGCCTTGTAGGAATCAGTGCGTGTCTGAACGTCTAGGGAAGCCCTGGCATAGGGAAACCCTGGCATAGAAGGTCGGAGAGGGGTGTAACGAAGGGCTCGCTAGAACTCGGAGCCTTTGCAAAAGGAGTGCGGAAGAGCCTTTGCTTCTGGGAGTCTCAGATCAAGAAGCATGATGCAAACTCGCTCACGTCGTCGGTGGTGAATGGGGGTCGCGTAGCTGCCTAAGTATCGAGGACTCTCGTTGCTTGCCCGAGGCCCACGATCCCATTGACCCTAAACCCTAAAACCGGAAAAGGGGCCCGAATGCCCAAAGCCTAAACCCCGTCTGAAAAAGTATGTCAGAGGTGCAATCCTTGAAGTTGCATGAACAAGGTAGCAAGACGTTGGTCTCTTTAGGGTTTAGGGTTTAGGATTTAGGGTTTGGGGTTTAGGGTTTAGGGTTTAGGGTTTAGGGTTTAGGGTTTAGGGTTTTACTTTAGAAGAGCAACACCGCCTGGCATATTCCACGGGAGCGATGCCACACAGTAAGCCCGAAATTGAAGACATGAACCCCTATAGGGCCGTAACTGAAGCCTGTCAGGGCAACATACCCTACCTATAGAGCCCATTTACACCCCTTAATTTAGGATTTTCCTGAAGGCTCCCAAGACCCTAAAACCTACTCCCTAAATTGCAGGCCGTCAGCGGCCGCTTGCTACTTGGCAGCCCAGTCGTACCCTTTTGCTTTGCCTCTATACTTTGTTTGTAGGCCCTCTGATAAAGGAACCCTAAACAACTAAACCCTAAACCCTAAACCCTAAACCCTAAACCCTAAACCCAAAAGAGGGCACACTTACCACATGAGACGCTTTCTGGGGCGACCAAGGCTAAGAGCTGTTGGACCCGAGCGAATCCGGCGGACCTTCGAGCCAGGTCGGGACATGGGCTTTGCCACCCTGCCACGGGGAGGATTCCACCTCACCTACTTCTTGACTCCACAGGCTCGGATGCGCACCCCCACCATAGTCTTGAGGGTGTATGAGGGTTTTAGGGGTTTTGGGGTGTACAGGGTTTCGGGTGTACAGGGTTTATAGGGTTGCTATAGGGTTTAGAGGGCTTAGGGTTAGGGTTTAGGAAGTCTGCGGTCCCCAGATCCTACACCCGAAACCTAGGCAAGCAAGCCCCGACTAGTCGGGAATTTTCTGATGTTTTGGTGCTCAGTGCGCACTTCAGTGCCGGGGGCCTCTTTCGAAGGCAGGCTCCTGCTTTGTTTTTGGGTGCGGGGGGCTTCTTGGGACCAAGATGCTCTTATGTGGGAATATGCTTCAGAGGGCTTTAAGAGCGGAGGAGGTCGAGTTCAAGATCAAGTTCATCATGTGCCATTCGGAGTTCAACCACACTCCCTGGAACACAGCAGCCTGGCAGGCGGAAAATGCAAGGATGTGCCTCTTTAACGTGGCTTGGCTACACCGGCCGATGGAGTATGTCCACTCGGCTGACATCGCCTATCCCGAAATTCCTTGGTACCCTCTTGCGAAGCCAGGGGCCATGGCAAGATTTTTCCGATACGCCCGCGCAGAGGAAGAT